TTATAACATTATTTACAGAGACTCAACAGTACCACCATGAGCAAGAACTTGGCGACTGGGGCAAGGAAAAACTGCCTTTTTGATGGTCATCTGCCTCAACTTATGTACTCCTGTCATTTCTGGACATGTTAAGTTAACAACAATATGAATTATCACTACATATATTGTTTTTATTAGTAATTTCTACAAGTATAATTGTTACTGTTGCTATTGTTGTTGCTGTGCATCTTTGTCTCTTGCTTCTGCATTTTTTGTAATAAAATGTGATTGTTTAACTGCATGGTTAGGCACGAAAACTACTTGCCTATTTTCAATCACTCTATCTCATTCATGATTTTAGCCAGAAAATGTCAGTTTGAGCTGTTTTGGTTTTAGAGCTGCCACCCGCTCAAACAACAGCTGTCCTAATTGTTTTTGACATTATTCCTCTGAGGGTTTTTGTAGCTTGATAGTCAGTTGCATTAGTACCCCAGGCATCAGGAATGTAACAGTACAGGATCAACTAGGCCTGCATCATCATTAATTTATGCTAATTTATGATTAAGCTAACACTTCTCTGTGATCAGTGTTGGTCATTCATTTGCAGATCAGTACACATGCTGTTCAGATTTCAGAGAGAGAAAAAACTGTGTTGACATTATGCAGTTGCATGTGAGGCTGGAAAACAGTGGCATCCAGGCGGGATGTTTGTAGTGATGGCTGAGGATTGATTGGTATCAATGTAAACATTACAGCGGGAGCCACTCAGCGTTAGCCTCAACAAAGAAAGCTCATTTCCCCATTATCCTTATCAGAAAGGCTATGATGTCCATGTGTGTATTATCCATCTGGCCATCATCTGTTGACTTGGATGACGTCAACAACCTTTTATCAGATAGAATTCTCACACTCTACATGGCCAGGTTGACAATTTGCAGTGGAATGCATTCCCTCTCAGCTTTGGAAGAAATGGCTTCCTTCCTTCTTTACTTTATACTTCCTTTCTCATTAGTCCTGTACATCTATCATGGTTGTTTGACTTTCCTCCTGCCTACCATGCTGTTTTTGTTTGTTTGTTTTGCTTAATTTTATAGAAAAATATAATTTATTATTCTGAAAATAATCACTAAAATACTGAAATTTCAAATGAATATCTCTGGGACAGTAAATGGAAGGAACTTTTTACTCCATGACATCAAAAATAATAAAGTTTTTAAGACTTTGACAAAATGATTGCATCTAGGAACAACATTTACAAATCCTTTATCACAGCAGAAAAGACTCAAAATCTACCTAGTAAATAAGAGATTATTCAACCTGGTCTCACTCTTAAGTCGTCAAATACTGCTGCTTGGTCGATTACCCCCCACTTCAAAAACCTCTGCATGTAATTTCTGGATGCTCCACAGTTAAGTTAGCAAAAGTAAATATGCAAGGTCCAGTTAGAGTTTAAAAATAAAGCTTTTAGAAGCTAACGTTGTGAAATGGTCATACTTTGGTCACACTTTTGGTTAAGTTTAGGCACAAACAACTATTTCCTTAGGTTTTAGAAGAAAGAAGTAAGTTACATTAACTGACTTTTGTATGGAACTTTAAGCTGCAGTAGGTAACTTTTATATAAATAAGTTTTTGTCATTTGCTGAAACTTTAACTAATGAAGTTTTATAACTAGGTTCGGGAACAAAGACCACGCCCGAACTCATCTCATTTCCGTTCAATACATATTTAAGCACACCTTTTCCGTTCACTCCCTCCTTGACTCATTTTCTACAACGTCAGAACCGAAAGACGAAACGAAAGCAAAACCTAAAATCACGGAAAACGACTACCATTGCCCCCCCCCATTCCAACTTCAACTGCCTCAGCCGCACAGAGCGCGCCCACTCAACGGTCCTCGGCGACACCACCAGCCAAAACCCTTACTTTCCTCCTGTCTCTTCTTTTCAGCGGCAAGTGGTTTTCAGCGAGTTCTCATCGCTCTCCCCTTCCTCTGCCATCTACGAAATGTACCCTGTCATCATCGCAGCTATTCTTTGGGGCCACAAATGGTCAAATGGTCGAAAATCATCACCATCCACTCCGATAACAGCACCGTCGTCGACATCATCAACAAGGGACGTTCA